AGCAAACAGAATGCTATGGAAGTGGAGAGATGGTTCGCCCTCAAAGCAGGAAGGATTAGCTTCCCCCACACCAATAACCTTGAAATGTTTATCCTTGTATGGTAGTATGTGCGTTACTGCCTGATTTGTAACCTTTCACCCGTGATCATGTGACAACATGGCCAATAACCTTGGCCTGTGAGTCACAGTATGTAGGCCCTGTGAGTAGGCTGGCGTTCAAATATAGCAGGTGTAGTTGATGGAATGTGGTTGGTAAACTCGTGCAGACACTAACATCTACCTGATGCAGATAGTTGAATTTGGAAATCAGTAGGTGTCTCCCGACCTTGGGCAAGTGTGCATCAGGGTGAAGCTTCTGTTTTAAAGACTTGTAACACAAACACACACAAACTATGTCTGGGATGAGTCCTAATTTACTACCCAGAAACCTAACCCTGCCCCTACGCAGGTGGCAACAAAATGTCAGAGTGGGAATGTCTGTGGGGAAGCACTGGTAAAAATTATTTGCATGCACATATGGAGCATGCATACATTAAAGCTAACAGACAGTTTGTCTTTATTCAGTGATAAAAAAATTATTAGTCACAAAAAGAAATGAGGACATTAATGTTGTGTAACCATGGAGTTGTCTTGTCATTGAACAGTTTATCACATGACTAGCCATGGGCCTCTAGTGATCCTCTGGGTACCAGGTCCTGTTCTGGACCAACCAGATCCAGGTTACCCGTCCCTGCCTGAACTCTACCACATTCTGCCAGGGGAGTTTAGGTAAGAATAGGTCTCCGAGGGGTGTCTAGGTAAGAACAGCTCCCAAGTACCTCATGCTTGTCTCCGAGGGGAGTCTACGTAAGTATAGGTCCCCAGTATGTCATGTTTGTCTCCCAGGGGAGTCTAGGTAAGAATAGGTCCCCAGTATGTCATGTTTGTCTCCCAGGGGAGTCTAGGTAAGAATAGGTCCCCAGTACCTCATGCTTGTCTCCCAGGGGATTCTAGGTAAGAATAGGTCCCCAGTACCTCATGCTTGTCTCCCAGGGGAGTCTACGTAAGTATAGGTCCCCAGTATGTCATGTTTGTCTCTCAGGGGAGTCTAGGTAAGAATAGGTCCCCAGTATGTCATGTTTGTCTCCCAGGGGAGTCTGGGTAAGAATAGGTCCCCAGTACACCATGCCTGTCTCCCAGGAGAGTGTACTTAAGAATATGTCCCCAGTATGCCATGCCTGTCTCCCTGTGTCCTCACGAGCCCTCCAAGTTGATACTGTATCTCAACTGTACCACAGTCCAATGTTTTCTTTCATGCATACAGATATCCCTTGTATTAAGATTTCTTAAGTTTTTTTCTGTTTGTTATTTGTTATATGGTTGTGCATTTAATTAGCAAATTTCAATTAATTTTCTCTGTCTAACACAGTTGATCATTTGAAGCCAGTCAACTATTGGCTATTTATTGGAAAACATGTCTTTGTCATGGTGACCCTGTTGAGGTTCCCAAGTTTATTTTCTTAGGTTGTTATTGTTATTGTTGGTTTCTATGGCAACAATCAAGGACAATAGCTACGTGTCACTTTGTCCAGTATATGGCGGGAATGTTTGTCATGTCACTGTGCATTGTCTGTTGTCTCTCTATGTCTCTAGGCATCAAATTTCAGTCATAAGGTATTACAATTCTCCATGCAGAATTGCATCCCTTTTACTCTCCAGAATCCTGTACCAGTTTGCACCAGTTGTGTCTGTAGGCTTGTCAGCATCATACCCTTGTTCATGATTTCACCAGTGAGGTAAACCAGTTGTGTCTGTAGGCTTGTCAGCACCATACCCTTGTTCATGATTTCACCAGTGAGGTAAACCAGTTGTGTCTGTAGGCTTGTCAGCACCATACCCTTGTTCATGATTTCACCAGTGAGGTAAACCAGTTGTGTCTGTAGGCTTGTCAGCACCATACCCTTGTTCATGATTTCACCAGTGAGGTAAACCAGTTGTGTCTGTAGGCTTGTCAGCACCATACCCTTGTTCATGATTTCACCAGTGAGGTAAACCAGTTGTGTCTGTAGGCTTGTCAGCACCATACCCTTGTTCATGATTTCACCAGTGAGGTAAACCAGTTGTGTCTGTAGGCTTGTCACCACCATACCCTTGTTCATGATTTCACCAGTGAGGTAAACCAGTTGTGTGTGTAGGCTTGTCAGCACCATACGCTTGTTCATGATGTCACCAGTGTGGTAAACCAGTTGTGTCTGTGGGCTTGTCACCACCATACCCTTGTTCATGATTTCACCAGTGTCGTAAACCAGTTGTGCATCATACCCAGAGAACATCATACCCATATTAATGGGTTTCACGACAGTGGCAAATGTAACAGTGCATCACAGTGTCTTGAAAATGAAGCTATGGCAACCATATCGAAATGGTCACCTTTGTCCCGAACTCTATATATCTGCATATATCGTAGTGTGCTTTGGACACAATTAGATTTTCTTCCTCGGTATGACCTTTCACCTACCACCTGTTTAATCTATTAATCTGCTGGGATGATGATGATGATGATGATGATGATGATGATGATGTGTATGCTATTGGAAGTTGGAGCAGTTGGTCACAGAAATTTGACATGTGTTATATCTAATAACATATTTGTAGTAACAATATTTGGTTACATGTGATCTTGGACTACCACTCTGCCAGTTATATTAGCTGTTTATCAAATTATTATGTTTATAGTGTTCTTTGTTTGTTGTTTAATGCTGAACTTAACAATATTCCCACGATATGATGTTGATTTGTAAATAACCAATTCAAGACCAGACAGTCCAATGGCTGACGTAATGAGTGTTTCTCTTGCCCAGAAACATCTGTCATCATCTGTAGATGGTGCAAATTATCAAAAAGACAAGGTGTGCTACAGTGCCTATTTTGTTTAGCAAGAAAAATATACAAAAACAGAATGGACTTTATGATGCAACCCAAGTGAGAGTGTGATGGAAATTGGATATGCTGTGCTTCATAACTACACCTTGTGACCTGGTAAACATCACTACACCTGCTACCTCTGTCACGCTGCAAAACATTTTATCATGAAGCTTCATCACTGCACCGTACATCCCATTAGACTTCACTACATCACAGTCTTCTACTTCTGTCACACACTGCAATACATAATTCTTGGAGTAACAGCCCTAGTTATCATTGAAAAAAATCATGTTCACAGAACTGTGTGACCTTCATAGCTGAGACTGAGATCCATCTATGTCAGGAGTGAGAAAGATAGAGAATAATAGGTGATCCCCTTCTCTAGGTTTTTGACTAAAGTAATTATTTTGAAAACTATTGATTATAAACAACAAGATGGCCTGGTTTCACATATCGTGAGTGTGTTGATTTTCAAGAATGTCGGCTACAGCACTTCACAACCTTTACTATTGTACTATTCCTGGTATGGTTAATCTGTCTGCACTGAATCCTCTTCACCATTTCTAAAGTCCTTGGCATGCAGTCTTGTGCCTGTCTTCACAGCTTTCACTTTTTCTAAAGCCCTTGGCATGCCAGTATTTTTCTAAAGCCCTTGGCATGCCAGTATTTTTCTAAAGCCCTTGGCATGCCAGTCTCTTTCTAAAGCCCTTGGTGTGCCAGTTCTGTGCCTGTCTTCACATCTTTCCCTTTTTCTAGAGCCCTTGGTATGCCAGTCTTGTGCCTAGCCCTTCACAGCTTTCACTTTTCTAAAGCCCTTGCGTGCCAGTATTTTTCTAAAGCCCTGGCATGCAGTCTTTTTCTAAAGCCCTTGGTGTGCCAGTTCTGTGCCTGTCTTCACAGCTTTCACTTTTTCTAAAGCCCTTGGCATGCCAGTATTTTTCTAAAGCCCTTGGCATGCCAGTCCTATGCCTGTCTTCACAGCTTTCACCAATGCTGTACTATTGGTATGCCAGTTAGATGATGTATCTGGTTGACACATTCACTCACTCACTCCACTCACTCACTCACTCACTCACTTACTCAGAATGATCGAGGCACAAAACACAAGGGTGGTCTGTGTTAGTTCGATCTAACCTTAACTGCAGGAATACAAAAAGGTAATTGAACATGTCACATGTTTGTTTCCTGTCACAGAGGGAATTATTCACACTACATCTAAACCCATTCTGACAGAGTAGGGGCAACAGTAGAGAAAGGTGAGAGGCAGACATCAATATACTCGTCATTTTTCCTGCACAATATTTGTGCTGCCTTCTGTGGCTGTGACTGTTGCTTTGAATGTCAGGTTAACTGTTAGCCTTCCTGTGATCAATATTTCATGTGCTGCCATCTAAGTGGCTGTGACTGTGTGCTTTGAATGTTGCTTTGAAGGTTAACTGTTAGCCTGATTCCCCAAGTGATCATTATGGAGACATCTGTATGTATCATCTAAGTGTCAACTATCATCTACCTTGTGTGGCTGTGACTGTTTTTGAATTGGTTAACTTTGAATGATCATTATGGAGACATCTGGATGTATCATCTAAGTGTCAACTATCATCTACCTTGTGTGGCTGTGACTGTTGCTTTGAATGTCAGGTTAACTGTTAGCCTGAATCCCCAAGTGATCATTATGAAAACATCTGGATGTATCATCTATCATCCAGAATAAAGGCATCCCAGGGTGTTGTGAGTATAAACAGAGTTCAAGGACAACAGGGATCTTGACCTGTTGTTATGCTGGTGAATATTTACATTGTTTACCTGATAACTATATACGTGTATTCTATACTACCCAGCAAAAGTTTAGACTCACTTAAGAACGCACTATATATCATGTATATATATATGGTTTACATCGCAGATGAATTATGCAGATGAATTGCACGAGCATCATGCATCAAATTGCTGAAAAGTATGTCCAAATATCGTGCACGTGCACAGCTGCATTTTGGTGTAATGTGTAAAATTTGCAAATGATTTATTGAACTCATGAAAATAATTTTTTCAAAGTTACGATTTTTTTTTACGATACATCAGTTCATGTGTAAACAGTACCTTTAAACAGTATGGAATGTTTTGCAAAATCTAGTTTTGAACAGTTGACTGAAGTAAGTGGCTACATGTACACTAGTGAGTCTAAACTTTTGATGGGTAGTATACAACACATGGTGCTGCATTGAGTACAGCTGTCTGTGAGCTCTTCTCTTGTATCCATGCCATGCCTTTTAGAGTCGTTGATTTTTATGCATATTTTATTTTTTGTCACGGGTGTATATTTTATGGAATCCAACTTAAAACACGGAAGTGTTCATGTGTTTCCCTCCATGTAACAATATCCGTCTGACACAGTTATACATTTTCCTGATACATTGCTTCATATTTGTTTGGTACTGTTATATGTTTGTATGACCCAGATATATCTGTGTCTGACATGGATATATATGTGTCTGACCCTGATATATGTGTTGGACCCGATATATATGTCTAATCCTGATATATATGTGTCTGACATGGATATATATGTGTCTGACCCTGATGTGTGTGTCTGACCCTGACGTATGTGTCTGACTCTGATATATGTGTCAGATCCTGATATATATGTGTCTAACCCTGATATATGTGTCTGACATGGATATATGTATCTGACCCTGATATATGTGTCTGACACGGATATATATGTGTCTCACCCTGATATATATTTTCCTGACACATATATGTGTCTGACCCTGATATATTTGTCTGACCCAGATATATATGTGTCTGACCCTGATATATATATGTCTGACCCTGATATATATGTGTATGACCTGATATATATGTGTATGACCTGATATGTGTCTGACCCTGTTATATATGTCTGACCCTGATATGTATGTATCTGACTGATATATATGTGTCTGACAGATATATATGTGTCTGACCCTGATATATATTGTCTGACCCTGATATGTATGTGTCTAACCCTGATGTATATTTGTTTGACCCAGATATATATGTGTCTGACCCTGATATATATTTGTCTGACCCTGATATATGTGTCTGACCCAGATATATATGTGTCTGACCCTGATATATATGTCTGACAGATATATGTGTCTGACCCAGATATATATGTGTCTGACCCTGATATATATGTGTCTGACCCTGATATATATGTGTCTGACAGATGTACATGTGTCCGACCCAGATATGTGTCCGACACAGATGTATATGTGTCTTACACAGATGTATATGTGTCTGACAGATATATATGTGTCTGACACAGATGTATATGTGTATGACAGATGTATGTGTGTCCGACACAGATGTATATGGGTCTGACAGATGTATATGTGTTTGACCCAGATATATATGTGTCTGATACAGATGTATATGTGTCTGACAGATGTATATGTGTCCGACACAGATGTATATGTGTCTGACAGATGTATATGTGTCCGACAGATGTATATGTGTCTGACAGATGTATATGTGTCTGACAGAGATATATGTGTCTGACAGATGTATATGTGTCTGACAGATGTATATGTGTCTGACAGATGTATATGTGTCCGACACAGATGTATATGTGTCTGACAGATGTATATGTGTCCGACACAGATATATATGTGTCTGACAGATGTATGTGTGTCCGACACAGATGTATGTCTGACAGATGTATATGTGTCTGACAGATGTATATGTGTCCGAGACAGATGTATATGTGTCTGACAGATGTATATGTGTCCGACACAGATGTGTCTGACAGATGTATATGTGTCTGACCCTTACATACAGATACTACAGATACATACGTGATGCATATGACTTGTTTGTATTTACTTGTAGGTATGATTCATTCATATTGGTTCGTGCATGTGCTGTGTCCATATTGACACAGCATACATTCACCTGAAAACATAAACCTGAAAAATATGACTTCTGGCTCATTGCATATACACATACTAAAGTAGGGATATTTTGATGAGATCTTTACGCAATTGTAGTACACCATATCAGGGTGTAAGTCAGGGTGTGAAAATCTACTTCGAAATGTGTCTAAGTACGTACAATAAACTAGGTGTTATACATTGACTTGTGTGTTTCTCTGTTTACTCACCAGCTTCTAGAATGCCGATCAAACTGTTATACCGACCTGGTTGTAATCCTGAGACATATCAGATTAACCCTTCATGTTCTATTGTAAGGTGTCAGAAGAGATTGTCAGCTATTTTCATCAGTTTCACGAAACGTTCAATCGTTATTGGTGCTAATGGTTCCGGGACTAACTTTTACACGGAAGCCCACATGGGAGTACGTGACAGAATACCTCAAGTGATCGAGTCACAGTACAAATATGGCTGTCAGATAATCCAGTGATTGTTTCTTGTAGAGCCCTGACCTGTTAACGTTAACGGTTAACTGTATACAAGTATATATTGTATAAACCGTTTTGCTAATAAACATGCTAAAAGGATGTGAAAAGAATGGGGTGTTTTTTCTTTTTAGAGGCAAATTAATTCAAAGTTCGTAGTCATAACTGGTCATGGTTTGAGTGAGTGAGTGAGTATGATTTAAAACCACATTTAGCAACGCTCCAGTGAGTGAGTTTTAGTTCACGCGGCTTTTAGCAACATACAAGTAATATCACATAGTGAGTTTTAGTTTTATGCCGCTTTTAGCAACATTCCAGCAGAGACCATATAATAGATCTATTATATGGTCTCTGATTCCAGCAATATCACAGTGAGTTTAATTTTACGTCGATTTTAGCAACATTCCCGCAATATCAGATATATAGTGAGTTTTGTTTTACGCCACCTTTAACAACATTCCCACAATATCAGATATATAGTGAGTCTAGTTTTACGCCGCTTTTAGCAACATTCCCACAATATCAGTGAGTTTTAGTTTCCCGCCGCTTTTAAACATTTTAGCAATATCACATAGTGGCACACCAGAGATAGGCTTCACACATCGTATCCATGGCCACTGATGTTGCGAACTCTTTGACTACCAGGCTGCCCAGCTTGCAGAGGAATCTTGCGGAAAGTCCACATTATTATACGTTCCCAATATTTAACAATAATTAGATGCCTATTTTTTCTTTAATTTGTTGACGCTGATAAAAACCAAAGTTTGGAAAAATACATGTATTAAATTGTTAGCGTAGATATGATTTATGCTTATACCTAACAAGACAATGATGATGTATCTATAAATAGCCCTTGCCATTTACACGTGACCAAACACGCCCACATCAGAGAATGTATCTATAGTATGACCAGAAATTATTGAGAATTTTAGGAATATGTTTAATTGGATTTCTAGTATAAACAACATTGACCAGCTATCAAGTGCTTGGTTTCATTCAAGAGAGACAACTCCGTTAATCCTTTTCATTAGTTTGTGAAGAGTTATCCCCCTTTGTTTACTTGCTAGCAGACGACATTTTCAGTGATCCTCAGTATGGATGATTTAGAGAAGAGGACGTTGATTTTAAAGTATTATAACAAGGAAATCAGATCAGCTAAAGTGATTTCAAGTAGAACAGGCATCCCTTTGTACACTGTTTATCGTGTTTTGAAAAATATTGCAAATGCATATGGCACTGAGCACTAGGGAGGCGCAGCTAAGTCCAGAAAATTGACTGTCGGTGACAGAAGGCGGCTTGGTATGCTTGTTCCTAAAAACAAACGAAGGAGTTTAGAAAACTTAAGGCTGGATATGATTCGTAGAGGAACTGTGGTTGTCTGTAAGGAGACAATTAGAACTGAGCTGCATGCAGTGGGTTGGCAGAAAAGTCGAGGAATTCCATCACCGATCATGACACCTGAACAAAAGGAGCGAAGGTTTGAACTGTCGCTTACAGCATAGAAATTTTAACTGGGACAATGTGATTTTCTCAGATGAAAGTTCTGTGTGGCTGTTTCCTAATACACTGAAATTCTGGACCAAACAAACTGAAAAACCTTTGTATCAGCGCCCAAAGTACAGTCCGAAATTTAACGTGTGGGGTGGCATATCTGTGTTAGGGGCAATTTTGTGTATTTGAAGGGAATATGAACAGTGAGCGGTACACATATATTCTCGGGGACATTTACTTCCATCTGCTCACGTGTTCTATGGAAATATTTGGATTTTCCAACAGGACAACGACCCAAAACATCGTTCAAAGCATTCACAGGCCTGGTTTCGGACCCAAAATATGGCATGATTAGATTGGCCAAGCTATATCCCTGACCTAAATCCAATAGAAAATGTTTGGGGACTTAGGAAGGAAAGTGTCAATAAGAAAAATCTGACAAATATTGCTGAAATGAAAGAAGAGGTGGTCCGATATTGGGACAGCATGGACCACGACTTTCTAACTTCTTTGATCAGTAGTATGCCCCGCCGCATTGAAGCCTGCATTGCTGCCAGTGGTGACTTGACAAAATACTAACTGTTCACCTGTCTTTGAATCTGGAGTTATTCACATTTAATACGTGAGTAATGAGTGAAAAAAAAAGAAAAAATTACAATCTTTAGAATTCTCAATAATTTCTGGTTGTACTGTATAAACTAGTCTGTCGCACTTAACGGCCTAAACGCGCCGACATGTTCGGAAACACCTACCAAGAGCGCCAGCCTGGTGCTGCTGATGCCACAGGTGGGACTACATAGGTTGTATGCCACCTCGTCACAATGGCTCAGTCCAGTGCTTTAGGGCTAGTGGATGTGACTCTTCAAAAACATCATCTCCTCCTACGATGTGGAAACTATTTCAGAGGACGTTTTCAAGTTAACAATTAAGCAGTCAGGGAAATACCTGAAGAGTAAAACCACCTTATCCCAGCCTTATGACCTACTGGCACGGACAACCAGGCTCATCAATTAGCATGCACGTCATGAACAGCCGGGGAAGTTCAGTACACATCTGTTTCTGTCTTATACTGATAACGAGGACAGACATGGCACCGATTGCATCCACAGCAAATTACATCAGACTTCGATCTGATCAGTGACAGTGCTTGCTGGACCCTGGACCTTTGCCTTTGCCTAAATATTATCGGAATCTGGTAATATTTCCGTCTACCAAGATGCAGCCTGAGATGGATCACTTTGGTTTCTGCCAGCATCATGCATCCCCTCAGTTGATGAGCACACAATCCACCCTACAGAGTCCAGAGTCGAGCATGAGACATCTGGGTTTCATCTGCAGCATTTAGGACCAGTTCCTCAAGATGCAGGAAGATGTCCAGTCAGTTTACGATGTCTGCCCAGGATCTACCCATGCAGTGCAGCCTCTCATACAGCAGATACATCAGGACATCCTGGAGCCAATGGAAAACAACATGCTCTCTCTGCATCTCACAGCTCCATGGAGGATACAACTGACGACTACGATCCACCAACCGTTCCCAAATCTACTTATCAGAAGTTCCTGAATTCCCCTAACAGCTTGGTAAGTCGAACAGAGAAACGTCCAGGTGCGACGAGCCCAATGTAAGCGACGACATGTTGTATCAGGACGTGAGTCAATTCTTGCCCAAGCTTAGAAACATAGACTCCAAGGGACCCTGCACCATGAGTAGGCAGTCATTCCAGAGGAGGCCAAGGTAGAGGCGCGTCGCCATTCTCGTACTGGAATCGTCACAAGTCCTTTCGTTTCTACAAGCTATTGACTATGCTTTTATCTAGATATAACAAAAGACGGGGTAAATCCGTGGAGTGGAGGAGAAGAGGTTCAATTCGCACTTCTTACTCAATCTCAGACATTATTATTATTATTATTATTATAGGATACTAATATAGCGCACATATCCACGCACAAGTGCATGCTCAAGGCGCTGGTATTTTTTCCCTCGATCATTGGATGTGAATCTCAACGGCACATCTTAATATCAATCTCAACTCTCTGGGGAGCATACAACTCTTGCAGCCACTAGGCGCACCGAATTATTGCGGCTTTCCCATCCGTACGAGGTACCCATTCACAGCTGGGTGGGCTGGGACTGACTGGACTTCACGTTGCTGTACCCGCAACTAGGTGTTTGCACGTATTCATGTTGCCACCATCTGGTCATATACCAACGGATTCTTGGGTTCTTTTAAGTGCACAGGGTTGTGTACTGTACACTAGCGGTTGTGACAACACTGAAAGAGTCTGCACACAAAGTTGACTCCAAGGTTTTTACACCCGGTCACAGGTGGGCTCGATCCCGGCACCTCATGCTCGCTGGATCACTAGCCTGGCGCCTTAGCCAGCTCGCCCACCGTGCCCAGACATGGCACCATGGAAGGCTATAGATCAGCACTAGTCTCAGTACTGCATCATGGTTGGATCTCATTAGATACTCTACAGGTATTCTACAGGTATTCACCAGGTACTCTATAGGCACAAAACAGGTACTCATTAGGTACCCACAAGAGATGTAGTATTTTTACTGGAATATTACAACCTATATTCCATAAATGGAATTGTCAGTTGATCTGTCAGCTTTAATGGAATCTTCACAAGAACCCACGTCTAATGCTACATTACTCCATTAAACATCTTCGAACAGGACGGCTTTTCTCCAGTGTCCATGGTCACTGCGGCCAGTGTCTCAGATCAAACACGCCATTGATGTTTGCTCAGTTATTCAGTGACGAGTCCAAGATCGTTTAGGACTCTACTGGAATTTATAGCAAAAATTCAGTCATTTTCCCCTGCGGCACACGCAATTCTCGATGTCTGCCTTCAGGAAACAGGTTGGTTAATCTGACAGGCTGCTGTGGCCCATCAGAGCTCAGAGATATTACATTAACGATCTCAAGACCACAGAAATCATAGACAACGCCTATTCGTTTCACATAGGTCTTTGTCAGAAAAAGGACATTAAATACGACTATTGGAATGGCCACCATTGCAGACATCTATTGTCAAGAACAGCTCTTCACGCGAATATGTGGAAACTGAGCTCAAGCTACAGTTCTGGTTACATGCAATCCAGTCTCCTTATAAGAAGAAGTGGTCAGTTGTATTCGACAATCCGTTTTTCTCACTTCTGGTTGCATGATCCGTGACAATCCGGGTTAGAATATTGATCTTCAGCAACATTTGCTTGTCGCAAGAGAGACGATCGGGATCGGGTGGTCAGGCTCGCTGACTTGGTTGAAACTTCTCATCATATCCCAGTTGCATAGAGCGATGCTCATGCTGTTGATCACCGGATGGTCTGGTCTAGACAGACCGCCGCTATATATCTGGTATATTGCTGGAGTGCGGCGTTAACCAAGAAACAAACAAACAAACAAACAAACAAACAAACGTCTCCTCTCTTGAGACTACGTACTAACCCATTTTTGGTACGCAGAATTTATGGGTCTAATTAAAGGGTGTTTTGGATTCTGAATGTTTCCAATTTGGTACATAGATGTAACATTTAAACAAAACTAATAGTGGAAGACCATTTCTTAAATGCCTAATCTTGAACTCAATATTTCCGCACG